GAGTATAACAGAAAGTTTAAATAAAATAAATGAAAGAACACAGTCGGACATAAATGCACAATTTTGTCCTAACATTCTAAACGTTTTGATAGAAAAGGTTTTACTAACAGAAAGATCAATTACTTTCAGTAATGAAAATCTCCTGGACCTTGAACTAATTTCTCTTGATACCGTTTCTGAAATTAAACAACATCTTTCTAACACATTTCCGAAGCAGTCAATACAATACTTGAATTCTTCTCATTTATATGAGGTTTTTCCCCTGTTTTTATTACAAACGTCTATAANTTTTTTAAACGATATTACAAAATTTAATAATTTGATTATCGAATGCCGCCAAATTCATTTCTTAATAGTTACAAACAATTAATCTCTGATGTTTTAAAAAAAATGTTACCTTGGTTTCTATTGGTCGTAGGAAGCTTTCTTTTCATATTCATCGGTTAAAAATTAATATGAGTTATATATTGCGACTTAATTTAACACAAAGAAACTATTGTACAACTTATGCACTGCGTTGCATTTTGAATATGTCAGCAAGACATGATAAATACTCATGTCAAAAATTGTTATCTGTTATTATTATTATTACTGTTATCTCATTTGTGGGTCAATTTCAAATTTTGTTTAAATAAAGTTTTTCTGTTTTTAAAAACGGATTTTTATTTTAAACAAAAATAACTGGCGCTGCGAACAGGATCGGTAACGGCGTTTTTATAGTGGTTTCATCGTGAAATACTGCTGAAAACGTCGCGAAAGTTCAGTTTCGAGTTTTACCGAGTTTATTCGAAATCTCTGTGGTAGAAATTCCATCTTCAGGAAACTTTCAGTGGAGAGGAGCATCTTCAGGAACCTCGGGTGGAAAGGAAATGCATCGTGCCATCACCTTTCTCTATCTAAGCTTGTGAGTACCTTTTGATTATTCCTTTATTTTTTGCTTGTATGCAACCAAACTGTTAATGTCTCTCTCCGAATCTGATTCCGACATCGAAAACAGTATTCGACGTCCAAGTTTTTCTTCACCCAAAACCCAAGTCAAACTCAAACCTCCAATTTTAAAACATTCAAGCAAAATGACCCAGTCAAACAAATCTTTCGCTTTCACGTTTGCTGACGCACAACGTCAAATATGTACGGTCCCCGAATTTTCTGGTGAACCTTAAGAACTTTCAAATTTTATTAACAAGGCAGAACATTATTGTTCTATTCATGGCAACAAAGTTCCCTCAACCAAAAATGTAGTATTACTTGATTTAATTGTGACTGGCATTACTGGCAAAGCTGCTCGATATATTAGTACGAAGATTGTCAACAACTCGGACTCCTTGAAGAAACTTTTGCTAGAAAAATATGGTGACCCCCATTCTGAAATAATTTTAGAATAAGAGCTAACAGGATGTAGTCAATAACGTAATTGGAGTTATTCCGAATATTACGACCAGATAGAGGAAAAATTAGCTAACCTGTTAGACTTTGTTCATTTAAATGATAAAGACAGTATGCTAATAAAATCAAAAATGTATGAAGAAAAAGCCTTGATGGTATTTACAGCCGGAATTAGGGAGCCCTATCGCTCACATTTAAGGCATATTTAGGACTAGAACACTCAAGGACGCTTTTGAAGAATGTCGCAATGAAGCATACATGGATTACCAAAACCACCAAAAGGACGTAAAATCAAATCCCAAAATGGTTACACCTGCACCTACTCAATTTACTCGACCTTTCTTCAATCAGCCGTCTGCCTCGCAGCCAAGATTAAATTAAAATCCTTTTACGACTCCAACTACACCATTTCCAAGAAGACCTATAAACATTTAAAGTAGACCAATAAAACAACATTTTCCTACTAATCAACAAGTATTTGGGAAACCCCCGAGCAACGTCTTCAAAAAGAACGTCATACTACCACATCAACTACCAAAACCGACCCCCAATGTCGACAAGCACCCGAAATAATATATATTCGACGCACTTATAGGAACCAACTCAAGAATACATGGAATTTAATAAAATTGAAATACATTACACTACTCCGGACAATTCAAATAGTAATTCACCCGTTTAGAGGTTTCACTCAACCATTCTAGACAAAATAAGAACTTTACAAAATAAAGAGCAATCGGAACCATTATTAGAAATCAGGCAAACACCTGTATTTCTATATAATAATTCTATACATTTCACAACGCAATTTACGCCTTTTGAGATTTTATATGGACCATATGATGACATCGATCCGTTACGTATAGACAGAACCCCAGTAGCACAACAATATTGGTAAAATATTACATTTACATATTAATTCAACGATGGAAATATTGAAATTAAATATTGTTCCAATGTTAGGAAATAATAAGTGTGCAATATTTATTTTAAAAATACAGCCAATATTTGTTATCCAGATTGGTCCAATATATATCTTACATATAGTCACAATATATCATGTATACATGTTATATGCTCAAATTAAGGAAGTCTTTTTAAAAAATTTATTGAGCAAAGCTACGATACACACGCGGTGTATGATGTAGTCTACAGCTAGAGTAAAGCATCTTTATTGCAACAAAGTTTTTAAATGGCAAAATAAGCAAAGCTAAGCAAAATGTCTTATTATTCCGTTTTATCTCTATATTACTTATCTAACACCTCCCCCATTAAGTTNATGAGTGAAAGAAGATCTTATCTTAATATTATATATGTATAAGAAATAATGAGTGCTGTCAATGTGCAATGTGGTGCATACCTATTTACACACAATTCCTTTAAATTTAATTTTTCAAACAATTTTTAACACAAAGAAAATGATTAAACAAATTGTTCACAAAAGTGAATTTCGACCACTCGAAGCAATGATGCTATCAGTTTTGAGCTCAGTGACTGACAAGAGGGAAGAACTTGTTTATATAAAGAATTTATCTCCAGTGCAATTTCTGCAAAGAGGAAGCCTGAGTAAAATATGTGTGCGACAACATAAATTTAATTTACTCAATTTACATACTATGGAATTTTGTCTTGGTTCATGCAAATTCTTATTGGTTTTTCCTATAATTTATTGTTAATTTTAATGTGTTCCCAAAAAAGAAGTCCTGTGGCTGTAAGTCTGGTGATCGTGGAGGCCACCTCACTTATTTATTATTGCCTATCCAATTCTTTCTAAAATTGGTATTTAATAATTCCGAAACGGCTTTGGTATTATGACGAGGTACGCCATCTTGCTGAAGGAACTTGTTAGTTGCTTCAGCTAATGCTAAATTTTCCATAAATTCAACAATATACTGGTCTAAGATGTCATAGCACCGTCAGCCATTTAAATGTTCTTGATATAGGTGCTAAAAAGTTAACACGATTGCCTTTTATAAATTTTCGGTTAAGTTCACGCTAGAACATTCAAACTGATGTTTAGTGGTCGACTCCACACACCAAACTGAAGAAATTTCGAGCATTATAAGAGACTAGATTTTACCCGCGGCTTCGCTCGCGTTGATGTCCTAAATATCTGTCAAAAATTATCGACGTCCACATAAAACTATTTTTTTTCCATCCCTCGGGAACAGTATTTTTTCTGAATAAGAGGTACCGTATGGCCTTGTTGTACCCTTAACAATGTGTTTACAAAATTTTATGATAATCGATTGACTGGTTAAGAGGTGAAATCAACCACATACAACGAATTTTTTATCCCTCGGGATCAGTATTTTTTTTCTGGATAAAAGGTACCCTATGTTCTTTTCTGTACCTCTGACAATGTATCTACAAAATTTCATGATGATCGATTGAGTAGTTAAGACGTGAAATCGATTACATTAAACTAATTTTTCTATCCCTCGAGAACAGTATTTTTTTTTTCTAGATAAAAGGTACCCATATGCTCTTTTCTGTACCCCTAACAGTGTGTCTACAAAATTTCATGATGATCGCTTGCTTCACTAGGGTGTTGAATAGGTGGAATTGGAAATAATTGATAAAAGTGCCCCCCTCTATAATAAAGTGAACGTGTCTCGTCGTATTTCAATATTATTTACTAAAGCAGTAAAGTTTTCAAATTGACACCCTGTATCTATTTGCACAATGGTTGGGAAAGTTTATTTAAATGAAGTAAAAGCATTTAATATATAATTTTCTCTAATTTCGTCGTATCAATTTCCAAGTGCCATTTTTATTTATTATGCGTACAAATACATCATGCTACATATAAAACTTAAATCAAAACGTTATCTTTTCATATACGTGGGTACCAATGTGTAGATATTTATATTTACGTTGTAATAACTGATTACAAATCAGCATTCCATAGACAATATTGTATTAAGTTTTCGCTATTTGCTGTTTTAGTTTTATTTCTCGTTATTCAATTGATTTTTTTGCTTCATAACTCATTGATGTATTTGCTTCCTAACCTTCATTAAAACTTCAAAATTTTGTCAGAAAGTAGTTTTACAGTTCAAAAGGAAGAAATAAAATTTTTGTGAGGAATTCTGCTAAAGTTCTGATGTTCGTTAGTTTTAAACTAAGGTAAACTTTTTCTGCAACAATTTTTTAAAATATATGTTCAGTAAAAAACGGCATTTAAGTCCAAATTATTAAATTAATAATTTTGAATGTAAATTGAATCGTTAACCTTGATCCACCTTTTTTTATTAAAACAAATACTAATTCAGTTCTAAACTGTAAAATAATTAAAATTGGAATTTCTAGATTTCGACGTAATCGTATGTACACGCTGTGAATATATTATATCAAAAAAGCATTGTATATTCTGGGCTATGTTTATTTTGAGTATATATTACATTTGCTTTTATTTTAACTGTATTACATAAACGGCCTTCGATTTTTTTAATAACCGCAAGTATTTTATCGTTAAAACTTACATGAAGGTCAGTCATTTGTAGGCAGTACATAAATGAATATTGTCTTTATTAAACTTTTATGTACATTGCTTTTGTATACATACGTGCTATGTAATTCACCAAGTTAGTAACACTTGCAAATCATATGGTTTCTGACACAGGTGTTTTTTAGACTGATAAGTTTTTATCATATGTTATTAGTTCATATCATTTTAAAATTTCTTTGTCATCGGAGTATTGTTAAATACGTTTTACAAGTGCAGTTTTAATGTGAAAAATTAGTTCGTAACTATTATTCTATCGGTTAGTTAAAAATGCTTATTAGTCAGGTTTTTAAGCTGGCGAGAGTGATACAATGAAGTATTTGTCCAAAGGATGTAATTTTAGTTTGTTGGTGTTACGAATTAATGAAGTGATTTGAATAATGTGACTTAAGTGTAAAACACTAATGGATATTTTAAACATCTACGCAATTTCTAAAGTAAAAATGAAGAATGATAAATTATTAGGTAAAGTTACCGTTAAAGTTCAGTTACATCATATTCTGCATTATGAATTAAAATCTGTTGAATATTGTGTTACTTATGTTTATATTTAAAGGCATTCAATCTAAAAAGTTTTCTTGAAAATTTAATATGTACTTATTTTAAAATAACGTACTTATTGTTACACTTGTTTAAATATTTTTCTCATTATTAACATTATAGGTAACCTCACTGACAAAATGTTTCTGAAAATTACTCTTAAAAATTTTAAATTTAAATTTAATTCTATATAAATTTTGCAGTTGGTAATAAAATTAAATAGTAAATATAACATTAACCCTGAACATAATTTATTAATGATTTCTGCTATTTATTTTTCAATTTGATAATCTATCTAAAATTATACCTGCACATGGTGCAGGTAGAATTCTTTTTGTTGTCACTTCAGGACTTGTTTCACTCCAGAATTTTTTTTTTCCGCTTTTGGCATTTGCTTCTGTAATTTGAAATTAGAACCGCACTTACATAAGAACTGATTGTATAATTTCTGAAATAAATGATGGCAAATGTTTACTTTAAGAAAAATGACATCAAATAATTTGTAATTCTTGTGACTCTACTTATACAGCAAATAACGTTCAGGTACGTATACATATAAGGGGGAGGATCAGTGAGTGCAGCTGTCCCCCTCCTCCTCCGACTACCGAGTTATATGTATATAACTTTTTAAACAGTTCTATCTTCCTATTTTTCGTTAATAAGATTAGTATAAAATATCAGAATAATTTACACAAAAATTCGTAATAACTGTACTTCATTGTAAGCGCTTACTAAGAGGATATCTCTTGAAGTCATATGGTAGAATTTGTGATCGTACCCACGTGATAATTCAGTCATCCTAAAATTGGAAGTAGCAAGTAATAAAGAATCCTTTTCAACGTTTAAGTTTGGTACTAACTGAAAAGTCGTTTTCATCATTTTGGAGTTGCGGAGGGTTTTTAAAATCCGAATGTTTTGCTACTTTAAAAGCATTAGGAAACGCATATCTGAACATATAGATTTTATCAATAAAACTGGTAAGCAGAACATTGTTCAGCACTATTAAAAATATTTAAAAATAATGTTAAATTAATAAACAGTTTATTGTAAACAAGTTACTTCTAATTCCCAACCTATTTTACATTTGATTATAATTAACAATATACCTATTACGTATTGTTAGTATGTATGTTCACTTGTTTACAGTTTTCTTTTTTCATAGATTTGGCTGTGAGTGGCAGCGAAGAAGAGGATGAAAATGAGTTTTACGATGCATTAGCCGAAGGAGGTAGTACTCCTAGCATACAATCAGACCGTCGTTTCACATTAGATATCCCAAAGAGCGGAGCAGGAAGTGGAGCAGGAGGTAGCGATTCGTCGAGTGAAACAGACGACGCACAAGAAATACAACAAGTCGTCGTAGTGACATCGACAGTCGAAGGTGTTCGTGACGCGAACGACACACGCACGGGAATTGCAGAAGCAGGTGGAGACGTTGAAGATTATCAAAAGCAAGGAAGTGGCGACGGAAGTGTCACATCTACCGTTAACGAAGAGAGTGCAAACGGTTCGTTAGTCAAACTGCCGCCTACTACAACCAAGCGCCAACGGCGCACTCGCGTGCCCGATAAACCGAACTATCCTCTAAATCTTTGGAGCATAATGAAAAATTGCATTGGTAAAGATTTGTCAAAGATACCAATGCCAGTTAACTTTAGCGAACCTCTTAGCATGCTTCAAAGATTAACTGAAGACTTTGAATATGCTGAACTTCTCGATGCTGCGGCAAAGTAAGTACGAATAATTAGTTACAGTTATACCTAGTACATTATGTAACTAGTGAAGTGTAATTGATAAAAGCGCACGCGGGCGTGTTGGTATATGAGCAGCTGTGTGATGTTGGCAAATGAATTTTTTTTTTCGATCTGATTTGATTGTATGTATGTCATATTTAACTCTGCTTGAAAAAGAAGATGAATGCTTTCACATCTGAACTTAAGGATGCACATGAATGAAACTTATGTGGGTGCTTCCATGAAAATATGACAACTCTATAATGTGATTAGTCTTTACTATTTTTTACATACTGTGCAATTTTAAATTAGTGTGATTTATGACTGATCGATAGAATAATTAATGTTCAAAAGGGCCAGTCACTTTGTTTAGTATTTTAAGAGAAAATCAGGATTTTGTATATTTAGACGTCTAGGGACTGTCATAGCTGCGGACTGATGATAATTATGCTGATATACTGTAATATAAGATTTTTTAAGGAAAATAATGTAATAAAATAAGACTCCTACACAGGCATGGCTTCGCTTTTATTAGGAACGTATTTTAGACGTTATCATTATTAATTATCTTAAAAAATGTTAATCATGTGTAGCTTTAGCTAAAATTCTTTAAGATAAGGTAAAAAATAAAACAAACGAGGCCCTTTGCTCCATGAAGTAATAATTAACAAAAAAGGCTTGCCTATAAAATAATCAATCTTAATAGATCAGTCAAGCGAGGGACTGACGATTCTGAAGAAAACCTACGAATATTCTGTTCGGTTATATATACCACAATTCCCAACGTCATTTAATAAACAGGGCTTACAAAAAAATACTAAATCGTTGACAATTAAAAACAATTGCCTACTATTTAATATAAAAATTGCTTACCGGGGGATTGACAAAGTCACTGGAACAAGGCGTGCTGGCACATCTTACGCCCTGGTTGCATTGAATTACAAAATGGCCGACACAAGGCGAGCGGCATTTGCAGATAACTTCATGTCTATACTTTAAAATGAACTGATTCTGATTCACGATAAAAACCGCGTAATTTCAAAATTCCTAAGCGTCTAGGGCCTGATGGTTAAAGTCGCGGACACAAATTTGACTTACATAAATGTAATGTTTTATAGAAATATTGTTATTTTATTGATGTTATTAGGTAAATGGTATTTTTAAATGTCTTGAATAAAATAAAAGTGTATAAAAGGAATGCTTTTTCAGATATTAGTGGCCAAATACAAAATTTTGGTAAGCGGACACGGCTAGGACCTGATATTTGTGGTAGTTAAAAAAGTTTTCCAAAGTATAATTCTAAATTATTTCAAACATTTTGAGGGCAACAAATAAAATACATATTAAGCTGTTACCTATTAATTAAAAAGTAAAATTTATTTAATCTTATGCAGTGAAAATGCCTGTGGACATAGAGTTGCCCTATTTTCATGGAAGCACACATGTACGAATTTTACCCTGAAACTTTGAATACGTCTAAAACAAAATGAATTCCATTCACTGACCAATTTTTAGGGAACTGAACTAACGTTTTCTAAAAAATATGTATTTTATTTTAAAAAAGCTTATAGAAGAATGAGTACTACCTCCCCTAACTACTATATTTATATGTACTTTAAAAGGGATGGGTGAAAGAAAACTAGCAGCAATGAATAATACTAAAGAGAAATCACCCCTATAAATACTAAAAACTATTTTAATAAAGCACATATGTATTGCCTGGACAATCTGGCGTTAATAATGCTCAAAATAAAAAAATTGTTTGCAGTATATAGAGGTGAGTTACTTCTACAATTTGGAATATGTAGGTACTTAGGAATAAGACACCTTAAATTAATGTTTTTAATAATTCTATTGATTGCTGCAGAGCGGAAAAACTCAAAACAGAAAAAATACATAATTGGTTTATTTTCGATAGGTGTTATTCTCAAATTATTTTCATATCACCAAAATATTGTAAGTGGATTCGTTTAGTTTACTTTAATAAATAGTTTCAAATAAACTTTTTTACATAAAGTAAAACGAATAAATAAATTAACAAGATCGATACGTTATTAATGAGTGAAGGGTATAGTAAATAATTTAATGCGTTAGTACCTTCGTGCATCCTTAAATTTATAACACCTAAAAATTACATTGGTATAAATATTTAATAATTCATACATGTATTATATACTAATATTGATATATTTCTTCTAGGTGTGATAATGTATATGAACAATGTGCATTAGTGGCTGTGTTTACCATATCATCGTATTCTACAACGACTTGTAGGACCGCGAAACCTTTTAATCCTCTTTTAGGTAAGCATTAAAATACGCTTCTTCTCTTGCTCTGCAATAGTTTTTTTAATTTTGGATTAGAAGACATGTTTATTTTTTACGGACATTACGACCAACAGAAGTAGTAATTGCTACATGAAAACTTCGTTAACGAGTATTGCTAGTAATACTAGTTCATTATATTTTCCTTTGATATATTCTGTTACGTTGTATTAAATATTTATTTACATGTTACAATTAAAGTAAAAATTTGGTCAGTTGATTCTTATTGCTGGGGTATATAAAGTAACCAAAGTCATGATTATTTTAATAAACAATGCATATGGAAATGCATTTTTTACTAAATTCGTATAATTGATCAGTTGGTACATTATCATATAATCAAAATGTATCAATTTTCACCGTGGTATTAACATACATGCAATGGTCCAACAGTGCATCAGTTGCAATAGTTCTGTTGTTATAACAGTCGATAAAAAGTTTAATGCAAAAGTTGTAAGGACTAGTAATAACGAAATAAAATTATTTATTTATATAAAGAAGTTGCATTAGTTTTCTACTTTCAAAACATACTTTTTCTAAGTATAGCTCCCTTATATTGTTGTATTATTGAATTACCCATTTTTGTGTCATATAGATTATTGGGGTCTTTACAGAATTATTCCACATTTATGGCCATTTATACGTGCTAGTGATCAAAATTAAATCGCAATTTATTAAATTTTTAAGTTTGAACATTATGGAGGTTCTTTTATCAAAGAGTATAGCTCTACAATCATCTAACTCACATTTACTTCGTGAATTTTTTACAATGTGTGACGTAAACAAAGATGTTTTATATTTAATTTACTATATTTGTAGCATACATAAATTTTATTTTTCTATATTCCCCCGCATGAACTTTATTTATGTCGAGTCTCATTCCTCCGTGCTCAAAATGTTCTTAAAAAGGGGTACAGATTTTTTTCTTCGCATATTAATATATAGATAAAAGATCAGGAGATAATTTGACATTATACTTGTAACTTTTTTTAATACGTCAGCTGTAATCATTTTATTGAGGAAACAGCGAACACAGAAATATAGTACAGTAGAAATAAGAAGGCAAAGTCCCTAATAAATAATACACACTAAAGGCATATCGTTTTTCTCGTTCTTATAAACGGAAGATATCCTGTAAAATAAAATAATTCGAAGTGGTCTGTATTCTGTCGAAACTGCCAGACGCGGATCGCGATTTCGATCTTTTTGGATCTCGTCAGCGCGTCGCAGATAGCTCCGACAGAACACAGACCAACTTTTACCTGCTGTCTTAACAGCGTGTTTTAGAAAACTTCGAATTATTTTATTCGATTATGGTAACGTACCTATCACGTTGAGGTTAGCTACGCCGGGATTCGTTTCAGCAAGTAGATATCCATATATTTAAATGGACCTTGTTGGGCATACGTAATCTTAAAATGTAGCATCGTACTGCAGATGGCATTTACCGCGCCATTTGTAGTATTTTCTTGGAAGATATCCTGTTTTTATTCTTTAGACACGCCTCCTCCACAGCTGCGTCGATGCCTGCACCTACATTTCATAAGAATCAATCGAATCAAATGAGACGGTTGAAAACGTGCTTGTCTTGTTGTCTGTACCTACATTAAATGAACAAATTTACAGGATCGGCTTAAGGCAGTAGTCGTGCTACAGTATGGTGAAAAAGTTAGTATAAGATCTAAGATAATTAAATGCAATAGTATTTATATAATTTTGATTGTACATCAAAACAGATTGAATGAGTCTGTATTCACCCACGCATCTAAAAATATTATTGTTCTTTTAATCGTTTTTTAGCTACCATACCGTAAACAGTATTGCTAATTTCACTTTTGACAGCATCCGAAACGCCCGTCTTTGGGGCTTTCTTCTTCCTCGAAAACTAATAAAAGGATATATAATAAAAAATAATACATCTGTTTTTAAATTACAAGTTCCACCTTCTTTTCGTATCTGGGATACGGTTTTGCAACTAATGTTCAAAACCTCCGCTGCTATGTTTATAACAGATGTTTTCTCGACTTGTTCCTTTCTTTATTTGAACTGGACCATTTCGTTGAAAATTAACAACAAAAATAACAATAAAAACAACAACAACTCCTGTGGAGGAGGCGTGTTTAGCAAGTAAAGACAGAATATCTTCCGATATGCCTTATGCATTATTTATAAGGGACTTTGCCTTCTTATTTCGACTATACTGTAGTCTGCTTGCTGATAATAATACCTACGTATATGGTACGCGGTAATACTGGTAGATCACCCCGTAACGAAGAAATTCGCTATTATAAAATTCAGTTAAAAAATAACTATTTCAAAGTATTCAAAGTATTACTAACTATAAAAAAATATTTATATAATGATACCAAATTAATATAGATTAACTGCATGATTTTTGTTAAAAAGAGACATACATTTGAGTTTGCATTATAATAAAATATTTAGTAATCCGAAATGAATTCATTTTATGTAAAAATTATCATTGTTGTCTATCCCTGAATTGCCTATGCAATGATTAATAAAACTGATAAAATATTAATTAATATATCCTTATTGACCATAATCCATTTGAATTTATCGAATAAATTGTAACTTTTTAATAAAACAAAATGAACCATTAATGTATATTTTAATGTGTGGTATTAAGTACAGCTGTTATTGAATTTCTATTTCAGGCGAAACATATGAATGTGATCGTACTGACGATTTAGGTTGGAAAGCAATAAGCGAACAGGTATCTCATCATCCTCCTATAGTAGCGCAATTTTGCGAAGGTCGTGGTTGGAAGTGCTGGCAAGAATTCACCATGACATCTAAATTTCGTGGAAAATACCTGCAGGTGTGTTGTTTTAATCTTTCTCTCTCTAAGATTTATTTGTTCTTTTTTGTTTTCTTCAATTGATTGTTAATGTAATTTTAAAATGAGGTAATGAAATCTTATTAAATTACCAAAAAGCGATGTTGGGTGATCATTGTATCATCTGAATGGTTTGTGTGATTGTCTACCTTGTTCTGATGAAGTAATTATTATCTTAATTATACTTTGAATGTAGTCGATAATTAGTAGAATGAAGATTTGGGCTATAGGGCCGTGGTCTAAATGAACTATTGTGTCCAGACGTTTCGTCAGCTACTGCGGCTGACATCCTCAGTGGTAGTGCTGCATTGACAACGTGGACGTAGATTATATAAGTCTCGACAGCGACTTCGAGAAAAACGATATGCCTTATGCATTATTTATAGGGGTATAAGTATCGACAGCGACTTCGAGATATAATCTACGTTCACGTTGTCAACGCAGCACTACCACTGAGGATGTCAGCCGCAGTAGCTGACGAAATGTCTGGACACAATAGTTCAGTTAGACCACGGCCCTATAGTCCGAATCTTCATTCTACTATGGATTCCGGCTGTGAAAGTCTTTGTTCTTATATTAGTCGATAATTACTAATTGAATTTTCGTTTCTGCGCTGTACCTTATTTATAGTATTATTAGTTTCTGCCCTCTAAATATGTTTTTTATTATCAGGTTATTCCATTAGGAATGGCTCATGTGGAATTTAATAGTTCTGGAAATAAGTACTCCTGGCGGAAGGTGACTACTACCGTGCATAACATAATCGTTGGAAAATTGTGGGTTGATCAACATGGTAGGTAACCCTATACCGCAGAATATAATTTTCGCAATGCTGTCCAATTTTTGTATCATAAAACTAATTAAAATATTTAAAAAGTATGCATGTATTATAGATATATTAAGTCTTAAACAAAACGAAAGTAGAAAACCCTGGATAACAAATTAGATTGTAGGATTAATATAAGAAAGGCGGAAATACAAAAACAGGACAGACGAAGAGGGGCAAAAGAGATATAAGGCTATAAAGTGGAAACTAATTAGGAAATGTAGAGCAGCTAAGGAACAGTGGATTGATAGAATGTGCGAAGGAAGTAGAAGAAAAGTTTGAAATAGGCAAAACCGATGAGGCGTATAATACAATTAAAAAAAATTTTAAAGATGTGGGATACAGTAGTAACAATATAAGAAACGAGGCAGGGATCACTTTTGATAGAAAATGAGGAAAAGGCAGATAGGTGGAAAGAATATCTAGAGAACATATACGCAGGCTGTGAATTAGGAGATATATTAGAGAAGGAAGATAGTCTGGAGATAGATGATCTAGGTTATCCCATAATGAGAGAAGAGTTCGATGTAGCATTAAAAAACTTAAAGAATAATAAGGCATCAAGTATAGATGAGATATAGGGGGAAATTGTAAAACATGCATGGCAAGAGGTTAGAGATCGTATGTTTAAGCTAGTTAGTCACATTTGCGAGACGGGGAACGTTGCAGATAATTATAAACGAAACGTGGTAGTTACCATACTTAAAGAGAAGCGTGGATAGGTGCGAGACATATAGAACAATTAGCTTAACTTCCCATGCGTCAAAAATATTAACTAGAATTGTACAGGGGAGGATGGAAAAAAGAGCGGAAGAACTATTAATGGAAGATCAATTTGGGTTTAGAAGAAATAGAGGAACACAGGAGGCCTTTCTAGCTTTACGGGTAACAATAGAGAAAACGATAGAAAAAAGAAAGAGTGCGTACATAGGATTTGTAGATTTAGAAAAAGCTTTTGACAATGTTAAATGGGATAAGATGTTAAATATACTTAAAAATGTAGGGATAAGTTACAAAGATAGAAGAGTGATACATAGTTTGTTTAAAGAGCAACAGACAGTTATAGAGCTGGGGCTGAAGTAAATGTTAGGAATGGAGTTAGACAGGGTTGCACACTGTCACCGCTTCTTTTTAATATATATATCGAAGATGCGATTAACTCGTTAAATACAGTACAACTGTAGGGATAGATATGTAGGGGCAAAAAATTAGAAAGTTAGATTTGCAAATGATATAGCAATATTAGCATCTAGCAAGGAGGAATTAGAGATAGCTTTAAATAAAATGGAAGCGGTATTGACGTGAAAATAAATAAAAGTAAAACAAAAATACTGGTAAGCAAGGGAAGAAGAAGTAGGAAAAGAGCGAATATAAGGATAGGAAACGAAAAATTAGAAGTGACCTATTTTAGGTATTTAGGAAGTCAGATAAGTCAAGACGGAATGAGCAGTAGAGGTATAAAGCAAAGGATAGCGGAGGGTCGAGTCGCTTTCAATAAAAAAAAGTCACTTGTATGCTCGCGAACGGTTAATTTAGAGATTCGAAAAAGGTTGTTAAAGGTGTATGTTTGAAGCACGGCGCTGTACTGGTGCGAAACATATACAGTGGGCGCGGCGGAAAAGAAAAGCTTAGAAGCGTTCAAAATGTGGTGTTACAGGCGAATGATGAGGATATCGTGGATTGGAGGAGATTAGAAACAAAGAGGTATTAGAAAGAATAGGAGAGCAGAGGACTCTATGGAACTCAATAAGAAATAGGCGAGATAGGATGGTAGGACACCTTCTAAGGCATGAAGGTCTAGTCAGAGACATGTTAGAGGCAGAATCGGTAGTTAGGAGGGGTAGAGGTAGACCTAGATTATATTACTCTTACAAATAGTTAAGGATATGGATTGTTCTGGTTTTAGAGAAATGCGAAGATTAGCTCAGAATAGGCAAGAGTGGAGGTGCGTGTCCAACCAGTCTTAGGACTGACGACACTATGATGACGATACATGTATATGTATTGTATGTCACTTACGTATTTAATTGGTTTAACAATAAGTTTCTTTTGTTTTGATGTTAATAAATTATTTACAATTAACGTAAATTTAACACAGTACTGCACTTTAATTACTTAGGTGATATGGATATAATGGGAAGAGGTCGTGCTGCAGGAGTGAATTGTCGCTTAAAATACATACCTTATTCGTATTTTTCAAAAGAAAGTCAACGCCGGGTCAAAGGTGCCGTCATGGACGATAAAGGAGTAGTGCGATATATAGTTAATGGTAATTAATTTTTTTTATTACATTGATTAGAAATCTGATAAAGAGTAGAAGAGACATGTATTACTGCTTGTTCTGTCTCAATTTACAGATACACATAGATGTGTTGTTTTATTTATTTGCACTGTTTTTTTTTGTTATTTTCGTAATCCACTGTATAAAAAGCAGGAGTCGATGAAAATGTTATGAAAGAAATTGATATTTTGATATATTAACAGATAATAGCAATGTCTTGTAAAGTGCCTAAGGCATATGGTATAGGTTTTTCAAAAATTGATACCGGCATGGAAACTTTTTAATTAACAATGGTTACAAAAAATTTTTTTCACTTTTAAGCGCCCTTATAATTTTTTAAAAATAAAATAACAAATAAACACAAACAAAGAAATCCAGCTACCTAAATCTAGATTTTCATTGGAAAAAAAAACAAATTCCTTCATTGCTTTTCAGTACATTGAAATGTAGGCGCGTTTTCTTCAATAGTTTTTGCCTAATTTTCAATAGGCAGATTAAAATTTTTCGATCTATCACTATTTTGTAGAAAATTAAACAAGGAACAAAAATTGTCCAGTGCAATCTTCTAGGGTGTTACTTCCAAAAACTTGTCGAAAAAAAGTGATTCTTTGGGCAATTTTGCATTCACCCGCTACTAAAATTCCTCACTTTAGATTTACCGCGCACCGCCTAATTATTGTTAGGGATGTTATTTCGGACCAATTACCACTACAAACTTGGTTCGCAGTCACAACCAAAATTTAAGGGATTTCATCCTCCACCGACTGCACTAAAAGTATATTCATTAAGAAAGTATCGTCTCGTATATTAATAATTTTTCATATAATTTTACTTTGCTATCTTATACTAATTATCTGTATTTCCTGAAGTATTTAGTTCTTATGAATGACAACACACTTTGGGTTATTTAATACAAAATCTGCACGTATAATTATTTTCTACTTTACCGTACCGTTTAAGGAACATGGGATGAAAAGGTTGAAATTGCCCCTGTTGTGGGCACTGGTGCTGTGAGTGGTCGTATAGAACATTCAAGAAATAGTTCACTCAATGCAAAAACTTCTGCGGCCTCTCTTGAAACTATTTATCAAACCGGAAAACCTCAATTGGCATGGAAGCGCCGAGAACCACCCCCGGAATCTGAACGTTACTATAATTTTACCTTACTAGCAGCACAACTTAACGAACCAGAACCGGGAGTTGCGCCAACAGATTCAAGGTAGTAATGAGTCTATGACCTAATACACATTGACATTGATTTCTAAAAAGCCACAAATTCATTCGGAGTTTATACATTTACGTTACTTTATTTTTAGAATGAGACCAGATCAGCGACTTATGGAAGAAGGCAACTGGAATGAAGCGAACAAAGAAAAGCTCAGATTAGAAGAAAAGCAGAGGGCATCAAGAAGGCAGAGAGAAGCAGAAGCTGAAAAAGCAGCTGCAGAAGGTATACTTTTTTACCATGGCAACTACAGTATGACTATTAAGTTATTGAAAGTAATTTTTGTGAATTACGTTCTGAATGGAAATAATTGTCTATTACCTTCTGTGCTAAATAAGTATAAAAGCTATCCCTGTCACAAAATACATAGAAATCTTCCAATTACAAAGGCTTGCACCTATCAACTAGGTTTCATTTTCCAGAAAGCTATAAATAATCAAACATCGAAATTTTTTTTCCTGGTGTTTTATAATTATCTTAAATATCTAAAACAATAGACAGGATTACATACTATTGATTTGTATCATCTAAAAAGCTGGTAATAGAATTCACAATAACTACGTGTCATTAAAATTAAAATAATAACTGATTAATAATTATAAGTAAAAAGTAAATTTCTGCCTATAGGTCGACCATATCCTCCCTACATGCCCCTTTGGTTCGAACAACGCCGTGATCCTGAAGTAGACACCATTTATCATATGTATAAAGACACCTATTGGCAGTGTAAAGCGAAACAGGATTGGTCTATGTGTCCTGATATATTTTAATAAAGCTTTATTTCACTTTCTGTCATAAGGTTTCCAAAGTGAAAGTAAAACAAGTCGTTGTTATTAATGAGAAGTAAGTTAACATATATATAATATTATCGTAAAAAGTTGTTTATATCGATGCGAATTTTATAATTTTATGCTTCGTATAGAGGTCAAGACATATGACAAAATGAAAAGAAAACTTAATATTTATGCGACCAAAAAAATTGAAATAATGACAATGATGTTAATTATTACTATTATTATTACCACAAAGATAATGTATTATAATAAAAACGTCGGTTCCTGTATATATTATATACATATTTATAATGAAATTCCTTTGTCCTTCTCTTCTTTATTCTAGTTTTAACTTTGTGATTAACTAGTGGAGGTTGAAACTATTAAATCAAATTGTTTATAATAACAAATAAGCATAGTACGGTCTGTTGTTGGTGTAAGGATGTAGTAATGAATAGAACGCAAATTATTTTATTATATCTTGTACATTGCTATTATCATAATTAGAAAATGTGAAATTGTATATGTTTTTATAGGAGAATTTAACCTAAACATAAACTACGCTGACATTTCGAAAATGAGTCGTTCAATTAATTACATATTATTGTAAAATATTTGAACCGATTTAACAGTTTAAAAATAAAATAAAATAACACTTTTTTTTAGCGTTATTAATGTTTTTAGTTTGTTACTGTTTTCGTTTATTACGTAACGTTAGTTTGATAAATAAAATTTGCTTTACCTTGCCACTTACCAAAATATTTACTTTACGTGTTTATTTGAATATTTTATTTAGTAACTTTATTTATTTTTATTCATCTGCATCAGCAATGAAACAAATAAAGTAATGGTCAAAGCAAATTATATCAACTGATCTGTCTTTTGAGTAACGCGGGTAAACCCTGACCAATCAAACAGTGTTTTTAGGAGGCGGCAGCTTATGTGACCAACCGCATAGAATTGCTTACAATTGGTTTAGTAACTCTTAGACAAGTAGAATATACGGCCGCTGTAGAGAATTGCTGTAGTGTAGCAGTTCATTTACTTTTTACACAAAGAATGAAAAACCGAGCGGAAAAGGTTTTAAGGGATAACCAATTTGAGTTTAGAAGAAACAGTAGGTAACCCGCGAAGTCATGTGCATATTACTTTTATTGGTATTGGTTGAGAAAACGATAGAAAAAAAGAGAGATTATATGTGTTCTTTCGCAGATTTATAAAAAGCGTTTGATAATTTTAAATGAAAAAATATGCCTAAAAATATTTATGGATCCACGGACGGGATAAGAGATAGAAGAGTGATATATATAGTTTTTATAGTAACAGGTAGGTAGTTATAAAATTTGAGCAAATTGTAGAAAAATAAAAATTAGGAAGTTGCATAAAAAAACATTAGCAACTTGGTCATTTTTTATTCTTTCAAAATACAGTCGATCTTTTACTATTACTTCGTGACAGTTCATTTCCAATGAATAATATATATTCTTGTATGTACATATAAACAATGAATATTTCATCACATTTTCCCCTTTTTATTCGCCGAATCCGATTGGAGGATATTTATTTAGAATTTTTTCTACGGTTGCAGGAAATAGACTTAGAAATTTAAATCTAAGCCCCATTTTGTCAGTATCGGTCATCATATTAAACCCATATAAGAGACCTTTCTTTTGCTCCTCTGAGCAACTCTCTTCCAGTTTTTCAAGCCTGTATTTAATGCCCATTTGAAGCAAAAAATTTCGTTGACTTACTGGACCATATGCCAAAATTCCACCACTTTTCAGGGCTTCCTTAAAATTGAGGTGAATTATAATAGGTACTTCAATAAGTGTTATGGTAATTTCGAGATGATGGGACCGTCGCTCGGACAGTGGCGGTAGGGGTTGAAGGGCGTCAGGGAATGTCAAAAGACTTCATATATGGCACTTAACTATGCATTGTATGGTAATAAGTGGGACTATAGAAATGTCCATTTTTAGCCTCCACCTTGGACCTCTCCCCTACACCCTGTAGCCCCTACCGATTCGATAAGAATATTTGTTTTTCTCTCTATACAATCAAATCAAAAAAGAATATACTTGCTCATTAAAAATAAGAAATGAAATTTTAATGATTAAAAAACTATTTTTTGTCAAAATGCTAAAAGTATTTTTGAGCTAAAATATACAGATAATCAATTTTATATTTTGAAATGGCATTTAAAGGATAATTTTTTAGCCTATCCTAACGTAATAAAAAAATCGATTAAAAAATAAAAATTTCGCGGCGTTCCATTCTCATCAAAATTAATTTTAACGATTTTCATTATTCGGAATAATGTTTAAATTAAAAAAGTTATATAAGCAGTCCTTTACGCAGGATTTCACTAAGGCCTAATCGGTTCTAAGCATAGCTCAAAACAGGGAAAAATGTTATAAATAAAGGTTATGCAAACACAAATGCATAATGTCGTACGAACATTTTCAAATGTAAATAAATTCCGGTTATACCGTACACTAATGTTTTTGAATTCCCCCATTAAAAATAAATGTCAGTTTATTAGTATTACATTGGGTGTACGTCGCACCATTATATAATTATTTCACATTTTATAGCTAATTTGACGTTTACAGTGTTTTGTTCCAAACAGAAACACACGTTACTTACACAATTACATATTTTTAAATACCATAAAACAACATTTACATTTACTATTATTTTTAAATGGAACAAGATATTTTTTTCTCATAATATAATTAAATTTCCTTTATGTTAATATAGGGTTGTTAATATCTGTTACCAATAGTTTTTAGATAGATTTTTGAAATTTTAAATAACTTCTTGTTATCGGGTTAGCCGTAATTACCGTTTTCTATTTCGTTTTGTCTTAAGGACGTTCCCAAAAAAAAATTTTTCTTACGATAATCTTTAAAATTTAATTGTAAATTCCTGCCTATATTCTGAACGCATACGAAAAATTTCCACCCGTTTTGCGGTACTAACATTGAAAAATATTAGCATTTTAAATTTCTATTTGAACGTATGTTAATTTATACATTTCATACTAATTCATGTAGGTTTTAGTGTCTAACAAGTTTAATTTTCTTACAATTTCTTTTAAATTTCAAAAATAGACAGATAATATTCACATAAATAATTTCCATACAAAATCGGTACAAGAAGCGGTATT